GGGTGTTGTGACACTGAACAATTTCAGTGGACCTTCTAGACCAAGACAGACTTCTGGTGGTGTAGTGCTCTAGTGGGGTAGTGCCTAAGGCACTTGACTGCTGACCAGAAGGCTGGCAGTTCAAACCCACCAGTCACTCTTCTGAAGGAAGACGGGGCAATCTACTTCCGTAGTGATACCGCCTTGGAAACCCAAGGAGGAGTTGCTCTGAGTTGAATCAACTCAACAGCAGTGAGTTGAGGAAGAAAAGCCTGGCAGTTGACTTCCAAAAGTCCACCAGTGGGAGCCCGATGGGTGACAGCTGTCCAGTCCACTTCCGATCGCAGGGATGGCATGGCCCAGGCGGTGTTTCGTTTGTTGTGCGTGGGGTTGCCGTGAATGGGGGCTGCCTTGGCGACAGCTGACGGCAGTGATGACATCAGTAGCATGCAGGTGAGTCTCTAGGAGCTCAACATTAGAACGTGGGGGACACACAGGCCCTGAAGGCAAGAGTATCTGGGTTTATGTGCTGCTGTGTGTGTTTTCACAGACACACACACACACACACACACAATAGACATACGTGCACGTTGTTGTTGTTAGGTGCTGTCAAGTTGCCTCCAATCCCAGCAACCCTGTGTACAGCAGAACGAAACACAGCCCAGCTGTGCGTCAGCCTCACAGTCCCTGCTGCACGGAGCCCGTCGCGGCAGCCACTGCGTCAGTCCGTCTCATAGAGGGCCTTCCCCCTTTTCACTGACCCTCCACTTTACCAAGCACGACAGCCTTCTCCAGGGCACGGTCCCTTCTGACACCATGTAAAAGGAGCTCTGGTGGCAGAGAGGTTAAAGCATCTGGCCTCCATCCAGAAGGCTGGTGGGTTAAACCCACCAGCCTCTCCTTGGGAGAAAGATGAGGCAGGCCGCTTCTATAAAAATTGACGGCCTTGGAAACCCTATGGGGCGGTTCCACTCTGTCCTCTAAGGGCGCTGTGAGTCAGAATCGACTCCAGGTTTGGCTTTTTGGTATGTATGTGTATGTATCAAACCAAAAACCAAACTCGCTACCGTTAAGCCGATTCTGACTCTTAGCAACCCCTATTGGGTTTCCAAGGTTGTAAATCTTTATGGGTGCAGACCACCTCATCTTTGTTCCATGGAGTGGCTGGTGGGTTCGAACCACTGACCTTTTGATTAGCAACCAAGTGCCTTAACCACTACACCACCAGAAGTACTGTGTGTATGTGTGTGTGTGTGTATACACATGTATTATATATGTGTGTGTGTGTATATATATATATATGTATATACGTATGTATATGCATATGTATGTGTGTACGTACATACATGGAGTTCTGATAGCACAGTGCCTAAGGCATCTGACTGCTAACCAGAGGTTGGTGGTTCAAACCCACCAGTCACTCCGCAGAAGCAAGACTGGACAATCTACTTCCGTAAAGATTTACTGCCTTGGAAACCCAGTGGGGATCTCTATGAGTCGGAATCAATTTAACTGCAGTGAAGTTTTGATTTTTTTTTTCGTATATGTGTACATTGTTTTTGGTTTGGTTTTACATATACATATATGGGGAGAGAGAGGAAGGTTATGTATACGTATCTCTCTGTATATACACATCTGTCTGTCTGTCTGTATCTGGGTTTACGGTCTGCCTCGAGTGCTTGCTAGGTATGTGACCTTAGACAAATGCCACAGCCTCTCTGAGCATCTCACTCCCTCATTTGTCAAAGGGAAGTAGTGATCGAACCTGCCTCTAGGTTGCTGTGAGGAGTGAGTAAATGCATGTAAACCACATGGTACGGTACCTTAATACATAGGATTGTTATGTTAAAGCAACACACAGACCTGTTGTTGTCCAGTCAGTTCCAACTCATGGCAACCCCCATGTGTCAGAGTGGACCTGCCCCACACCGTTTCCTTAGCTGTCATCTTTTTGACAGCAGGTCACTGGGTCTTTCCTCTGCAGCGCTGCTGGGTGGTTCCTGACTGCCAGCCTTGCAATCAGTAGCAGAGCACGAACCGTTGGTGCCACCTGGGGGCCTGTGATTGTTCCTAGTGTGTTTCGTTACTGGGAGATGAAGGAGGAGATGTAGTCTTTCCTTTTGGGGTCCTGAAACCCGTTGACAGCAGAACCGCAGAAGAAACTTCAGAATCGGTAGAGAAATTCATTTTGTCTCAGAATATGCACGTTTACCAATCCACCACAGTCAGTCTCTTCTCTGCGATTTGGAAATCCAAAAAGCTCTGAGTGTCCCAAGGCTTCTCCAGACTTCATTTGGTGGCCAGACCTCGATTCGCACGTGGCTGTTTCTGGCTTTACTTCCTCTGTTTACTCTGTGTAGCCGTAGGTGTCACTGCAGAAATGGTGACCTGACTTCCAGGTGCTACCTCAGACCCTTGGACAGGTTACAAAGACGCTGTAGGCATTGGTTTACCTTTCTAAAACCCCCGTCATTCTGATTTCTGAAACTCGTTTGGACCCCAGGGTTGTGGTCCAGAATCGCAGACATGTATTGTATTTGAAAGGTCAGTGGTTCAGACCCACTCAGCGGCTCCCTGGAAGAAGGACCGGCGTTCTGCTCCCTTAAAGTTTGTTGTTTTTGTTTGTTATGTGCCGTCGAGTCAGACCCGACTCATAGTGACCCCTCCTTGGGTTTCTGAGGCAGTATCACTACAGAAGTAGATTGCCCC